ACGGTTGTATTTTAACCAAGACTTCACCATTAGTGAATAACCTCACATCCTAATGCTTGTTCATAGGAAAATAAGCCCTCAAATCTAGCTCCAATCTTTCTAAAGAAATATTACCCCCTTCAACAAAAGAAACTATAGCAAAGTTTCTGAATTTCTGAAAACTAGAATTAACTTTTCCCTCAAAATTTAAGACATCAGAGGAGAACCAAGGACGATCACCTGAGATCTTCAATTCAGCTTCCAAATCTCCATAATTTCTCGGTCCTTGATCTTGAAAATGAAATACATTCTCTTGTAATTTCTCTTCATCCACCGAAGCCAAAGGTCTTTTACCCTTGTCCTTCTGTAAAGGCTCTTGCTTTCTTGAAGAAGAAAAGGTTGAGGTAGTTCTTTCCCTGCGCCATTGCCAGGGGTTAGGATGCTCAGATCTCCCCCCTCGTCCCTGTTCAAATCTTCCTCTATTGCCTCGACCCCCAAGATTATTATAACCTCCAGAACCACGACCCCCAAAAGAACTACGCCCTCCATCAATAGATCTTCTTCCTCCAAAGCCACGCCCTCTATTATCAGATCTATCATTACCATGCTCATTCAATCTGCAATTCCTTGCTTCATGACCTACCTCTTGGCATCTAAAGCAAACAATAAGATCTCTGCAATTTTTCGCCATGTGTTTCGATCCTCCACAACGAAAACACAAGCGATTTTTACGAATAAAATCTGCAGAAAGAAGACGAGGAGAAACAAGAGACCTTTGGAGATGCGGCGATTTAGGGTTTCGTTTAACGACACTCACCCAGTTTCCTTGGTTAATATCCTCCTTCAATTCATCTAGGGATCTCCGTGACGGATCAAACCCCACCGCAACTTTTAACCCAACCTCCTCAGATCTTGACCCAACCTCAACAAAATTAACCCTAGTTTTCTCAAACTGGGGTTGAAGATTTTGATTGGGCCTAGAACGAGAAACAGAAGAAAAAGATTCACCCCAAATATTGCGGGCCACAAACCCAATCAGCCCATTGTCCAAACTCTCCATATTTTTTTTGATTAAGAAAAATAAACTTCAGCACACAACCAAGAATCTCCAAACACGATGGAGAACTTGCTCGTTCCCGCCACCGGAAACTTCGCCGGAGAGAGGGACCGATCCTCCAATCAAATTTGTTTACAATGACTTCCTACGTGTTGGAGACTTCAAAAAACAGAAATAGCGTACGATGTAAGTATCCTACATCAATTTGTGAAATTAGTTAGGTATTTCTCTGCTGGATTATTCAGTGTCTTGTCACTTTGATTGATCATCTGATGATAGTAAACTTGAAATTACCCTCCAAACCTCAATATGTGGAAAAGTATCCTACATCAATTAGATAGAGAATCCCGGATCTCTCTCCCTAATCCCATTCACAAGCCCCTTATAATTTGGAAAATTGGAAAGTATACCTCTAAAAATATGAAAAAGAACCACTAAAAATCCGAAAATTTCGATATCAACCGAGAAATTCAAAATTACAAAGCATGCCCCTAAACCTGAACTTACAAAACACTGCAAAAATTACAAAACAGCCCCTTAAATGTCTTAAAATTACAAATCAGCCAGAAATCTGAAGCTTACAAAAGAACCCTTAAATCAAAAACCTACAAAGCAGACCTTCAAGGTTCGAAGAACATAAAACGACTCCTAAAAAATCTTAAATCAGACAAACGGCTCCTAAAAAATCTTAAATCAGCCAAACGGACCCATAAAAATTTGAAATTACAAAGAAGCACCTTTCAAATATGAGAATTACATATCAACCCCTTCAAAGTCCAAAAACTACAAAACAAACCCCCTAAAATGAAGGAGGTGTTATATTTAAATTGGTACATTGGCTGTCCATTCGCAAATACAACAAATTTGGGGATATATGCGTGAAAACCCAATAAAAATGTAGGGGTATAAAAAAAATTAATGTTAAAGAATGGGAGGGTATACTTGCAAATATGAAGATTTTGTTTGGGGGTTGAGGGGTTCAAATGTTTACATACGAGGGAAGTTTGCCAATCTAGTACATTTGGGGGTATATGTACTACAAGAACCCGAAAAACAAAGTCAAAGTAGGAGTGATTAAATTAATTGTCGGAGAAACTCGA